TACAATTTGAAACCATCTACCTCCAAGGATAATTCTCACCAAGTAAAAATAATTTCCTACAGAAAGTTGTCAAAATATACCCAAAAGTGTTATTTCCCTATATAAACTATAGTAAACTTTACCCCCTCCCCAAGGGAGAACGGATAGCTCGGGGGTCCTGAAATTTACAATTTAAGTAAAGCCCCTGATGATCTTTCTTTCCATTTAGAGAAAATGACTGTAGTACCTCTGAGTCTGGAGAAGAAGATTTTTGAAATATTGGTTAATTTTCCCTTTGGGGCCCCGCCCTGGCCCCAGGGGTTGGGGTAGGAATCCCAATTTTACGATTTTGTAGCCTCATCTACCAAGAATGATTCTGACCAAGTTTGAAAAATATCCATCAACTGGTTCTTGAGAAGAAGTTGAAATGTAAAAAGTTTACGCACGACGGAAGACGACGGACGACGATGGACGGAAAGCGATTAGAATAGGTCACTTGAGCAAAGCTCAGGTGACCTTAAAATATGAGGGGTGGCGGAACTTGCCCCGGTCTTCCGTATGTAATTTTTTGTATCATAGATGATTGGTAAACAAGTATTCAAATACATTTTTTGCGTCAGAAGACGCCAATTTCTTCCAGTCAAAGCTAAAGTAGGTGTTTGTTCTTATATGGTGGGCCGGGTGCACAGTGGATATATAGCGCGCTCGTCTTTACCAAGATGGTCGGATTCGATCCAGGTCACCTGCCTGACTACATGGGGTTTTCTCCTGTTATTTCGGCTTCCTTCCACATTAAGAATTAAAACCTTGTGTGCTTCTTTCAGGGCATAAAAGATTGATTGAGATAAGTTGGGGAAAAAACTGTTTGGTAATTGCTATAGAAAAAAAATCATACTAGATATTTGACGATTAATCTAAGTGAATGAATAAAATATAAGTTAAAAAAAAAAAAAAAATAGGGAACATTTTTATACTTTGATGTAACTGAGATTGTCGTTATATCGAAATGTTGTCTCAATTCCTGTCCCATCCACAAACACCAGGTTGAATTTCAATTTTGTTACAGTCAAAGTAATAAGTTGTTAAACTCAGGTTGGTGATCTGGAAAATCATTGTTGATTTCGACATATATGTATTATTTATTGTTTTTTTTATGAGTGGTGATGCATAGATGAATTGTGTTAAGACTTTAACAAGACTTTTAAAAGGGTTAATTATTTCGTTCTTATTTTCAACAAATAGAAATCAAAAGCTGATGATTTGAGACGATGAAAAAGTCAATGAACACATAGACCTATTGGTTTAATGCTGGCTCTTTTTTAGGATTACCCCGGTAGAAATATTTATAGAACTTGGCTGATGATAAAAAGATTCTTAAGCAAAATATCAGCATTTTTACTTGTATGTGCCTGTGGCAAAAACAAATAAAAAAGTCCTGAAACACCGACAAAGAGATAATACAACGGACATCAGTTCCAAGATTTTCCGGTTATTTTTCATCCTTCCGGAAATAACCGATGAAGGCCGATGGAGAATGACGTGTTTGCAACGTCATAGTATGATAATCTCTAAACGAAGTGGCACGCATGTTAGTATCACATTTTATGTGATGGACTTTTTACACTTAGAATGTATATTAGTTTTTATCTAAATCGGAAAGTGTAGAAATAATATAACAACTTTTCTGTATATGTTTATATTCTGTTAGTTAATTTTCCCTAGCAAGAATGATGAAATTTAAACACAATTGTCTTTTCTTCAAGGATACACTTCCGGTTTCCCCACTGAACGGCTACTTCCCGACGATGTGTAGCAAGGGGAAGCAACTCAGTTTACGCACGCATGTGTAAATTACCATTAAAGAGCTTCGGGCTTATTAACATTATTGATCATTACAATTCAGGAACCTGAGACACTATGAAATAACCTTTAAATATATATGTCCGTTGAACTTTTTAACAAATCCGATCAATATAATCTATTAATTATTATCTAATAACTATACTCCATAACCCTGTTGCAATATTGTAATATATTTCTGATTGTGGGAATTCCAATCTTGCTAGCGAAGACATGCATAGTGGTCGTGTCACAATGCCACAAGTGCTCCAGAAGGGCTTTCGGGGCATTGCATATAGTGTGCCACATTATCACCATAAAGCTGTGGCGATATCGCCGCTTATGTGCCATAAAATTCTGGCAATATTCAGGCAATATCGCAAGAAACCTAATTTGCATAAGAAATCAGAACATGCAGCCGAATATCGCCACAACATTGAGTTCAATCACAGCATACATAATAATATTTTCTAACACTATTTAACAATATTATAATTCCCTTACCAACTGATTACTTTCGGTTCATCTAAACAGTCTGGTTCAATATATATATACATTGTAATAACAATAGATTATGGGATTTGATCAGTGACATACCGATTAAAGTGTCACACCTTAACACCATAAAATGGATGATGTATTCATGGATTCATGATTGAAATACTGTATGATCTGTTTATGTGTGCTTACCTAAAGTAGTCGAGCTGAGGCCAGCAACACCTTTCTCTGCCACACTCTCAAGGGAAGTTGGTGCACGTTTAACAGAATGACTTTCTGTATCATTGAGTTTTTCCTCCATCTCTCTCTCAGCCTCGCTGACAACAGAGGTTGCTGTATTTAGCTTCAGAGAATGACCTTCCTCATCTTCATGGATTTCTTTCTCCATCTCTCTCTCAGCTTTGCTGACAACAAAGGTTGCTGTAAGCTTCAGAGAATGACCTTCCTCATCTTCATGGATTTCTTTCTCCATCTCTCTCTCAGCCTTGCTGACAACAGAGGTTGCTGTAAGCTTCACAGAATGACCTTCCTCATCTTCGTGGATTTCTTTCTCCATCTCTCTCTCTGCCTGTAGAGATTCTGTGTTACTCACAATCGAGCTCAGGGAAGTGGCAATGAAATCATCAACTTGATCATCCAAGCTGTTTTCTTGCATCTCATTCCCCTGGTCAGCCTTTTCATTGGTAATAGATAATAGTGATTCACTGACAAATTCCCCAATCATCTCCTCTATATTATCATCCATATTGTTGTCCTGAGCAATTACATTGGTACCACTGCTGATCACTTGAGGAATCTTTGCTGGACTCTGCGGAACAGCTAAATCAGATAGAGTTACTGGTCTAGATCCTGTTTCTGGTTTTCCTTGGATCACCGACGGCATGTGGTAAACATGGGAGTCAATCATAGCCTTCTGATACTGCCTTATCAATGTATTTCTCCGCATATCCCAGTTGTCCACCCTTACTGGAGATGGCTTAATCTGTCTCACACTAGGTAGAGAACTGGTCTTCTGCATGGGTGTGCTTGTACTTTTGGGAATGCCATCCATTTGCTTCAAATTCAGGCATGGCAGTGACTTTGATGTAGCAAATTCTTCTTCTTTTTGTTTCATTTTCTTTTCTTTAAGACCTGGTAATGGCAACTCTTCATCCTGAAACTCACCGCGAGTGATATCCTGTTTGATAAGATCTGTGATGGACTGATCTACAAGTTGGTTTAGGAATCCTGACACCTCGTCAATGGATCCAAGGGCTGTGTCACCTTCAAACATTGGGTCTGGTTCAGGCTCGTGATCATATCCACAATCCATGATGAACTGTAGGGGACAAAAAGAAAAAACAGGCCTGGATTTGTATTTATATATTGAAAAACACAAGTTTTAAATATTTATCAATGTATTTTATACAAAATTGAGTCCCCATTGCCCAATGATAGTCCAGGCCAAATTTGGATAAATTAACTCCAATGGTACAACAGAAGAAGGATTTTAAAATTTAATCCTCAAATTTCCCAATTGGGCCCAGCTGCCCCTCTGCATCAAGATGGGGCCGTACCCTCTGTTTACACAACAATGAGATCCCCTTTGCCCAAGGATGCCCCAGGCCAAATTTGGTTAATATCCCTCCAGTGGTAGGTACATAAGAAGGATTTAAAATATATAAACCTTAAATTTCCCTTTTGGGCACCATCTCTCTGCGCCCAGAGGAGCCACATTTTCAGTTTATCAATCATTCAGTCCCCTTTAGCCAAGGATGCCCTATGCCAAATTTATATAAAACACCTCCAATGGTACAGAAGGAAAAAGATTTTAAAGATTTAAACCTCAAATTCTCCTATTGGACCCTGCCCCTCAACAGATTAGGCAAACTTACAATATACCATTCATTTATTCTCTCAAATTTTAATTTCTGTCCACTTACATGGCACTTTTGGGGTGAGACAAACACACAAAATAGAAAAAACCCAAGAAAGGGCTTTAAATTATATTTACGATGAACACAAAAATACATATGAAAATTTACTAGCCCGTTCAAAATTACCTTCATTCAAAATCAGACGACTCAGAAGTTTTGCAATAGAAGTACTTAAAATCACAAATAAACAGACACCAACATACCTACACAACCTTATCAACATCACAGAAAAATCATACACATTCAGATATCACAACACAGCAGATATACCACATGTTAGGACTACAAGTACAAAGTATGGTAAACACTCAATTCGATCTGAAGCACCTAAAATATGGACTGCCCTACCACACCACTTCAGAACAACAACTACACTAACACAATTTAAGACACTAATAAACAACTGGTATGGGCCAAAATGCAAATGCAACACATGCAGACAAAACACATCGGCTCACAATACAGTTATACATGTTTTAGCTAAAGCTTACCTCTACTTATGTCACCTCTCTATTAGATAGTGCTCATCTTTTAATATGTTTCTTGCCAAATATTTATTGTGTAACTGTGCATGTCATTTTATGTGACGGTTTTAATAGCTCATTCGAGCTAATGTTGTATTGTTTTTTAACCATATCGACGTTAAATAAAACTTTTGATTTGATTTGAACACCCAGAGGAAACACATCATCTGTTGGCATTTATACAAAATTGAGTCCCCTTTGCCTAAGGATGTTCCAGGCCAAATTTGGATAAATTACCTCCAACGGTACAGAAGAAAAAGGATTTCAAAGGTTTAAACTTCAAATTCCCATATGTTGGGCGCTACCCCTCAGCACTCAGATGGGTCACACACTCAATTCACAGCGAAGTTAGTCCCTATTGCCCCGAAAATGTAATTTCTTAAGTTAAATGCCGGTCAATGCCGGTCATGAGGTATCGATACTTTCCAGCTCACTGCATGGATGCTCAGTTTGAATAGACCTACAATATGAAATAAGAACCAGACCCTGCGAAAATTTTTAAATGTTTCAATTTCATTTTTCTTTTGGTAGTTAACTGTTATATATATATATATATAGTAAAATCAATTGTGGTCGGAGGCCTGCATAGCTACTGTACTGTAGAAGGGGACCGTAATTTTAAATCCTGCCACGGAATACTTTCTAAATCCGTGATCATGTCACGCAAGAATTGTGAACTTATGTCTAATAAGATCGCTTTATAATGCGTGCTGAAAACAGTCGACAAACAATAGTTTACCTTGATTTTGCAGCTTAGTAAATAAAAAAAAGTGTCTTGAAAACTTCGGATTCGTGCAGTCGCTAACTTCGTCCAACAGTGGGAAGGGGAGATAACTCTATGTGTCGAACACAAAGAAATGGAACAGGAACGATAACTCTGGTATACATGTTAGTAATACAAAGTTGCCTTTATTTGTTTTTTTAAAAAGCGTAACCATGCGTATTTTTACCAAGTGCAATGTCAGCTTCTGTTATCAAATGCAGAATATTGTGACTTTGTTGTTTGGACAACTGACTTTTTCACACAAAGACTACAGCTTGATCAAGTTATTCTGTCAGGAAATGGTGACGAGTGCAACACTTCTATTTAAAAGTGCGGTTCTTCCCGAATTCGTTGGAAAACTGTTTTCTAATTTTCTTGTTTTATTCCCATCTGTTCTATTTTGTACATGTACATATAACTCTTACAGACTAAACAGGATCTAGAGAGTTCACAAAAAAGAAACGAAGGATAAAGCAACTTGTGTAGTTCTCCATACGAGAAAATTAATAGCTCCATGGAAAGATGTGTTCCAATCATGGAGAAAAATAGCTGATAAAGAAGATTGTATAAGAGAAATGAAAAGTAGATTGAAAATGCCTATTTGGTATAACAAATATTTTACAGTAGGAGCCAAATGTTTATTTTATAAGCAATGGTTTGAAAAGGGTGTTATAATTATAAATGACTTAATAATAATAAACTTGATAATAACTCTGGTATTTTCTATAGTTTTATAGAATTTTCACAAAAATTTGATGTAAAAACTAACTTTCTTACATATTAAGGTATTATTAATATTATATAAAAAAAAACCTACATGTCCAATGATGATACTTTAAATACTTTGATTAGTTATCCATACATACCCTTAAATTTAGAAATATTTATGAGGCATAAAAAAGGAACTCAAGATTTGTATAAGTTGTTGTGCCAAAATAGTACCATATCCACTGGGAAAAACAAAAGGAATGAATTGTTTGAATTCGATGATGACGCATGGAAATTGATATATATGATTCCTTTTACAGTAACTAGAAATTCAAAATTACAATGGCTTCAATACAGAATAAATCAACAAACTCTTATCTAGTTAAAGCAGCTGTTACCGATAGTGCTCTTTGTTTTCAATGTAAGACTGAAATAGAGACAATAATTCACACACTATGGGGATGTGAGAAAGTACAAGATTTTTTACAAAATTTTGAGTTCCTTCTTGATGCATTGTTAATCCCATTTGGTTTTAACAAGGAAACCTTCATTTTCGGTTTATTTAATCAAAATAGTATCAGTAGTAGGGTAGATAATACCATCATTTTACTTATAAAACAACATATTTATAAATCGAGATGTTTACAAATGTCATTGTCAGTAGCTGCACTTAAGAACCTTATCAAGGACACATATTTTACTCAGAGATATATTGCTGTTAATAAAAGTGAATGATTTTTTTATTGAAATTCAATAATGAATGGAAAAAATGGAAAAGTCTAATTAATATTGTTTAAACCCTGTCTTTGCCAAAATATGAACATATAACTATCGA